GGGAAAGATGGCAATGATGGACAGGTGGGGGGCGGGGGGGCAGGCAGTCGTACTGGTTGTTTAACGTATCTTATGTATTTAGTGTGGTAAAATACACGCAGAGTTGACCACTTTGACCATCCAGTCCTACGTCAGCTGTTTACCTATGCCTCACGACCACTTACTTAAAGCCTGTGTAAAAGGCGCAATCCTTGCACTTGAAGAGCTTTTTCCCGCCATGCTTGTCCCGGTAATGGCGCCTGATGCTCTGGATGTAGCCGGAGGAGAATTCACAGAATTCGCAGTGAAGAACGGCTTCGGTTTTCTGCTCAGCGCCAGCAGCGGCCCCAGGAGGCGGCACGGGGCTCACACGGCTATTGTTTCTTGCCAGGGCAGCTGACTGGTAATGGTTCAACTGCTGCTGAACATCTGGGGGCTCTGAGTATGACGAGTCTGTGGAGAGATGGGGACAATGACACCGGGCGCAGAGAACACAAGAGAGGTTTGAGCTTGAAAAATCTCTGACAGCAGTTTCGAGTTGTGTTTTTTTTTTGTGAAGGGGTAACGAACTCTGATCCCTTCTTTCACGTCAGGGTACGTTCTACCACGCAGATCTGGGGAAACGCAGGTAGAAGGAAGTGGTGCTTCTTTTCATCTGACTTTGAGGGCTCACAGCATTTAAAAATAAAATTCTGAGGTTAAGGGTTTCAAAGTGAAGGAAGAAAGTAAACTGTTTTTTAAAGGAAGCTGCAGTGTGGCAACAGGCTGCCTCAGAATGCCCGTCCTTGTCAGCGAGATAAACAAACCTACATAATGGACAGACATCTACCTTAGAAAGGAAAGGCGATGAGGCTGCATTTCCTCTTCTGCAGCCCAGGATTATTCAAGGCAACGGATGATGGGGGGAAAAAAATTCGATCTTTAACAGAAATGCTCCAGCATATGGCACTCACAAATATAAAAATGTTTTATGCCTTCACTGTCGAGTGATTTAAATTTTAAAATATAAAACTCCAATAGTCCTCCCCTGGAATGGATGTTTACAGCTTAGTCAGCATTAGGATGGAGATGTATTCAGAAACCCCATTAAAATGAAATTCCAAACACGTTTCTCTGAAAGGTACCTTAAAGTTGGCAATTTGGAGTGAAGTATCAGACATGACAGGCACAAATCTTAACCCTGAGAAGCTTCCATGGCGTGTGGTGGAGAAATGTGACCCAGCTAGGAGGAGGGGGCATGTCAGAGTCTCTTCTTCAAATTAAAAAAGAAAAAAAAGGAAGAAAGAAAGAAAAAGGAAGCAGAAAGAACCTTTTCCCAACACACAGCTCTGAAGAGTTAGGTGAGGGAATCATCCAGTGTCCTGGACAACGTACAACTGCCTGCAAGGGCACGAACGAAGCCCACGACACCCATGCAGATGAACTGCAGTGTAACTTTCCTGGAGAAGAAAACAAAAGGCTCTGGGGCCTTTCAAAGAGCAGGGGGTAAGGGGGTAGAAAGGGTACAAGCCTCCTCCTGATCTGATGGACACATAATTTTCCAAAGCATGATTCCCCGAGGCGGGACGTGGAGGAATTCCGCAAAACCCGTATTTGATCAAACAAGTGCCATCCACCCGTCCCAACAGCCTCTTTGAAAAGAAAAACAAAACCCAAGCACACTCCCTGACCATGGGGCCATCTCCTGACTTCAAAATACCAGCATACCTTCCCTTTTTGTTTCCCTCTTCCCCTCCTCAATTCCTATTCCTCAAGATTGGAGGGGGAGACCCTTTGGAAATTGTAAACAAATCTGCCACACACGAAAACAAAACAAAAGGAAACTTGAACAGTATCTCCAAGCCTCCAAGGGTTCATTACCAGGTGTAAACGGAAGACAAAGGAAGAAAGGAACAACACAACTGAATTAATCTGACCTGGTTCTTTTATCTCCTGTCGGTATTCTTCTACCCTAGCAGATGAACCCACTCAGGATCACAATAACTCGACTGTCAACTTCTCATTCTTTCTTTCAACAGCAGGTCTGTTTGCCATTTCATGGACTGTTCAAAACGTTTTCTAGTTAAGCCCTCGTGACCAGTTTCTGCTTAGAACACACATACAGTGAAGCGCAAAACACACTCCACCTCTCTTGTTAACACGGCCCTGAGTGTAGGTGAAGTGCTGCCCTGTAGTGGCCCTGGAAAGTCTCCGGCCTCTCTAGTGTTGGTCCCGGACTTGCGCTCTGAGCTCTGCAGGGCAGAAATTCTGTAACAAGGCCAGAGCCACGTCCTGCTGCCCGTGACAGGACCAACATATCCAGCCAGAGACTTGAAGGCTCCCTCCAAGACATAGCACACACCTCAGCGAGTCTCCCAGGGAGTTAGCACGGATGCTAGTAAGCATAGCACATACCAGGCAGCTGACAGCTCCAATCTCTTTACAGCAAAGCCAGGAAGAAAGCAATGGCTCCTGCTCAGATGATAAGCCAGGTGAACTCATCTCCCCCACCTTCCCACCCCACAGACCTGACACACACACTAGACCTCAAATGGGGTCCCCTTCGACTTCACATCTCTTTCCTGTCTCTAGGGCCTACTGCATACTACTTCATCCATTGCATAAAAGAAACTGCAAAATTTAACTCCAGTATTCATATATGGTGTGAATCTTGAATAAATAAAAAAGATAAGAGGTCATGGGAAAGCATTACAGGAAAGAGGTGGTCACCATGTTGAACGACAATGCGAAACAGCTACGAGGAGTCGTGCTATAAATTCCAGGTTAAAATCACACGGGCAGGTTGGAACTAAGCCACTTCCACTACTGGTGGTATATTTCTAATAGTGGCCAGGATACAACACATTGGGTCTCTCTAGGGCTTTATTTTCTTCTTCTGGTGCCCAGACTCACACACACTCGCCCTCTCACTTGGAATGTGAGAATAGTGAACGATTTTAGCTCTCTGGGCACTAAACTGACAAAGACATGATGAGCACGGAAGTTTCCACCGATCTTTCAAAAGCCCCCTGGCTAAGCTACATGAAGCCCGTTAGTTCACGAAGCCCAGCCTGGAGCATAAGAAGAGGGTCGTTTGTGCCCTGGTTGGAGCAGCAAACACTGGCAGAAGCAAAGGGCACGCACATAATTAAACATCGTCAAAACTGTTCTCTCTCAATTCAGTAAAAACACCTTGTGCTTGGAACGCCAGACTTAGGGGCACAGGGATGAGAATCTACTGGGAAACCCTGCACCCAGCTCACACCTTTATGGCCTGTAGGGCCAGCAGAACCGACAGCAAGGACTAGGTCGGTCCACATTCAAAGACAGGTCACGGCTCATGGCTGAACATACCCATCCATTTCTAACCCTGAGGCACGCAGTCCGAGACAAGCCTTTTATCCCGATTTGTGACTTGATTTATACACAGCATTTCCCAGGTTAAATTATAATTTACAACTGTAATGATAAATACATTAAATTATATATAGCTATCCATTCAATAAATTGGCTGTAAGAAGAACATTTTGTAAAATCAGGATCAGAGTGGAATTTTAGCATGGATGGTCACAGAGCATACAGGTGTGGTCTGGAATTGACAGGCAGACCTTGTTTTACAGTGTCTTGCTTCCTTGCATTTTTTACAAATTGAAGGTTTGAGGTAACCCAGCATTGAACAAGACTATCAGTGCCATTTTTCCAATAGCACATGCTCACTTCATGTCTCTCTGTCACATTTTAGTAATTTGCACATTATTTCAAACTTTTTCATAATCAGAGTGCACACTCTGTGCACAGAGGCTACAGTCTACTGTCAACATAACTTTCATATGCACTGGGAAACCAAAACATCCGTGTGAGTCACTTTATTGTGTTATTCACTTTATCGTGGCAGTCTGGAACCGACCCCGCAGTATCTCCAAGGCATGCATTAGCTCGTTCTGCATCAGTGCAATTCAACCTCACAATGACTGTGTCAAGTACAGACTGTCATCCCAATTTTGTTGATGGGGTAGCTGAAGCCAATAACAGCTGCTCATAAAGTCAGAATTTGAACAAAGATCGGGCAGGCGCTAAATTCTGATTCTTATCTATTAAGCATCAGTTTCCCATGTTGGTCCTGGGACACAAGTCAGAGGGACGAGAAAAAACAGCACTGTTACATCAGCAGAAGACATACAACAGAGAGGAGCGAGGCGGCAGGAAGCGGAAACGGCTGCGACAGAAAAGAACACTGAGGAAGAAAACGCTGAAGTAAGTGTCCCAGTGCACAGGGAAAAATTAATAAAGCAAGATTTGTGGAAAAGAAAATAAATATACAAAACGTCAAAGTGCTAAAAAAAAAAAAGGACCCCACACTGAACATTTCTGCAGCACACTGTGAAAAAAGCACTAGTGACACCAGCACTGGAAATCTTTCTGCCCCAAGGTCAAGCTTTCCTTAGATGCTTGATCAACAGTCCTAAAAAATAATGCTCTGGAATTCCTCTGATGGCATTTGGCTGGGAAAACGAAAGCACATATATGCCAATGAGAGGTGGGCGCTTGAGTGGTTCAGGATTTCAATCCCAGAGACGCTGATGGGAACTCCGACCCTCTCCCTCATTCATACTCCCAGAGAAATGGGAAACCTCTAGCTAATTAATGTTGTTGTTGTTGATATGTGCCCTTGAGTTGGACCCGACTCATAGTGATCCCTCCTTGGGTTGCCGAGGCGATATCACTATGGAAGTAGATTGCCCCATCTTCCTTCCGAGGAGTGGCTGGTGGGTTTGAACCGCCAGCCTTCTGGTTAGCAGTCAAGTGCCTTAGGCACTACGCTACAGAGCAACTTAGATAAGTATCAGTTCGAGGTTTTTGTTTCCTCCAGAAATTACCCAGTGCAGAAACAATCACCGGAAATCTGATTTTATAAAGGCAAGTGGCAGAAAGACGACTCTGGAAGAGTAACAACATGACAGGGGGAGGCTTGCTTGACCCTTGAACAGCTCTGATTCCGTAATCACTTGGTCGCATCCTCTTAGTGCCAAGCCTTGTGCAGGTTCTGAGTATCCAAAGAAGGCACGAGGAGTGCCTTCTAGGAACTCAGACGAATCAGGCAAGAGCACAGAGCAGTTGACAGCTTCCAAAATGCCAGCCTTCTGCACATCCAGAAACTCCCTCCAGTGACGTCATAGGGTGCTGTGGGAGTGCGGACCGCACCAGGTTACACTGTCAGAGGGGGTGACAACAGAATGGCTGTCTACAAAACTTTTATGCAGTGTGTCAGTGGAAATTTATTACTTTTTATAAAAATATCCCTGTGCTTTTAACAACAAAAACATTTCTCCTAAGCCCAGCTCACATGTGTCAATACACTTAAAAGGCTAAAGCTCTACTGAAATTGCCTTTTTGAACCTTCTGATGCACTCCGGGCAGAACTGTCATCATTACCCAGTTACAATGGTGCTTCCAATTGCATAGTTTTGTCTGCA